TTCCTTTTATTTTACCACCATCATAACAATAACAATAATGCAATGCATTGCCTCTGGGACCTGACACCTCTCCCATTCCTCCAGGGTCTCATAGGAACAATAGCATAATAATAATAATAATAATAATGATAATAATAATAATAATAATAATAATAATAATAATAATAATAGAAATAACAACCTTTACCCGCCACGTGTTGCTGTGGCCAATCTTCCCTCTTTCTCTCCTTTTCCCTCCTTCCTTCCTTCCTTCCCTCCCATCTTTCCTTCTCCTCTTCTTTCTCTATCTCTTTCCTTCCTTCCCCCTTTTTCTTTCTTTTCTGCTGTCTCTCTTTTCTTTCCTTCCATCTTTCCTTTTCTTTCCTTTTCTTCTTCCTTCTTTCTCTAACTTTCCTTCCTTCCCCCCTTTTCTTTACCTCCCTTTCTCTTTCTTCCTTCTTTCCTTCCTTCCTGTCTTTCCTAGATTTTGACAGGGCGGGAAGGGGCGGGGTGGGGTTTGGAGGTGGCGTGAAGTAAAAGGAGGTAAGATTGGGGCGGGGGAGTGATGGAGCGTGGGGTTGTGTGTGTGTGTGCGGCGGCGGGGGGAGTGATGGAGCGTGGGGTTGTGTGTGTGTGTGCGGCGGCGGGGGGGAGGGTGGGGTGGGTGTGTGTGCGGCGGGGGGGAGGGGGTGCGTGTGTGTGTGGCGGCGGGTGGGGTTGCGTGTGTGTGTGCGGCGGCGGGGGGAGTGGGGTTGCGTGTGTGTGTGCGGCAGCGGGGGAGTGATGGAGCGTGGGGTTGCGTGTGTGTGTGCGGCGGCAGGGGGGAGTGGGGTTGCGTGTGTGTGTGCGGCGGCGGGGGGAGTGATGGAGTGTGGGGTTGTGTGTGTATGTGCGGCAGGGGTGTGTGTGTGTGCGGGAAGTGGCGCGGCAGGGCTTGGAGTGGGCATGGTTTCCGCAGAGGGAACGTTGGCCGGAAGGGCATGTGCGCGCGCCAGGGAACTTGCGGCTGGGCGCCAATGCGCATGCTCAGTTGTTTTGCCGTTTTGTGAGTGTGTTGTTGTGTTGTTTTTCATTTTGAGTAGATACGTTTGTACCTTGTGGGTTGTGTTATGGGCATGGGAATTTTGGTTAAGTTTCGTTGGGGTTTTTTTGAGTTTTGTTGTTTGCCGTTTTGTGAGTGTGTTGTTGTGTTGTTTTTCATTTTGAGTAGATATGTTTGTACCTTGTGGGTTGTGTTATGAGCATGGGAATTTTGGTTAAGTTTCGTTGGTTTTTTTGAGTTTTATTCTTTTGCCGTTTTGTGAGTGTGTTGTTGTGTTGTTTTTCATTTTGAGTAGATACGTTTGTACCTTGTGGGTTGTGTTATGGGCATGGGAATTTTGGTTAAGTTTCGTTGGGGTTTTTTTGAGTTTTGTTTTCTTGCCGTTTTGAGTGTGTTGTTGTGTTGTTTTTCATTTTGAGTAATATGTTTGTACCTTGTGGGTTGTGTTATGAGCATGGGAATTTTGGTTAAGTTTCGTTGGTTTTTTTTGTTTTTTTTGCCGTTTTGTGAGTGTGTTGTTGTGTTGTTTTTCATTTTGAGTAGATATGTTTGTACCTTGTGGGTTGTGTTATGGGCATGGGAATTTTGGTTAAGTTTCGTTGGGGGTTTTGAGTTTTGTTGTTTTGCCGTTTTGTGAGTGTGTTGTTGTGTTGTTTTTCATTTTGAGTAGATATGTTTGTACCTTGTGGGTTGTGTTATGGGCATGGGAATTTTGGTTAAGTTTCGTTGGGGGGTTTTTGAGTTTTGCTTCCTCGTTGGATGCCCCTAACAAATTTATATATATAGATTTCAGGTTGTTATTATATACATAGATGTATATATACACACAGTGTGACCAGAGGACTTATTATTATTATGTCCACTGGTTACCTTATATCTATTTGTATATTATTATTTCTGGTAGTTCTTATATACAGATAGATGTGTGTGTGTATATATGTATATAGTGACCAGCAGACTTATTATTATTATTATGTCCAGTGGTCACCTTATATCTATTTATATATTATTACTTCAGGTTGTTATTATATATACATAGCTGTATATATACAAACATAGTGACAAGAGGACTTATTATTATTATTATTATTATTATTATGTCCACTGGTCACCTTATATCTATTTATTATTTCAGGTTCTTATTAATTATATAGTGAGCAGAGGGCTCTAATATTATTACTATCATTGCTATTATAATAATTATACCAATACTATTATATTATATTATATCATATTCTAATTATTAATATTACTAATATTACGACTATTATTAAGTTCCCTGGTCACCATATTGATATATAATATACATGGTGGCTGAAGGGGGAAAAGAAGAGGGCTGAGGCCAGGAATTGTGGGAGTTGGAGTCCAAAACACCCTGAGGTCCCAACGTGGCCCATCCCTGCCCGATTCTACCCGGCTCCCAAAGGGAAGAAGGATATTGCCTGAGGGCGGCCTCCACCTCGGCGCGCAGCCCTCCTCCGCCTTCGTCCTCGGCCGCCCCCAAGGCCCCGCTCCCGGCCTCGGCCCCGTCGGCCTCCTCCACGAAGCGGTTCTCGTCGAACTGGTCGATGTCGAGGCGCCGGAAGCGAGAGGAGAGCGAGTTCCGCGCCATGGCCAGGGGCCTGCTCGGGAAGGCCTTCCCCTCTGAGGGAAGACGAGGAGAAATCGGCACCTCCTTCCCTCTCGGCTGCCAGCGACCTTCTGTGGTGATTCTCCCCGGAAACGGAAACCCCGCCCGCCGGGGAGGGGGCGAGAGGGAGAGCCAATCGGGAAAGGATGGGCGCGGCCAAAGCCTGGGGAGAAGTGGGTGGGGCTTCCCAGCCACGTGACCTCAGCACGCCTTGCCTAATCCAACCACTTGCTTCTCATTTCTAAGGCAGGTTGGTGAATATTTACTACAGTGTACTATTACTATCATTACTCATAATAACTTTAATATTAGTAATATTAATATGATATAATATAATAGTAATAATAATAATTTTATAATAATAATAATTTATATATATATATGAACAGAGAACTTAATAATCATAATAATATGATATAATAGGAATATATATATATATATATATATATATATATATATATATATATATGGTGACCAGAGAACTTAATAATAATCATAATATTAGTAATATTAATAATATAATAAAAGGTAAAGTTAGTCCCCTGACATTAAGTCCAGTCATGTTTAACTCTGGGGGTTGATGCTCATCTCCATTTCTAWGCCGAAGAGCCAGCGTTATCCATAGACACCTCCAAGGTCATGTGGCCGGCATGACTGCACGGAGCACCGTTATAATATAATATAATAGTAATATATATATGGTGACCAGAGAACTTAATAATCATAATATTAGTAATATTAATAATATGATATAATAGTAATAATAATTATATATATACACACACACATACGAACAGAGCTTAATAATCATATTAATAATATGATATAATAGTAATATATATATATATATATATATATATATATATATATATATGGTGACCAGAGAACTTAATAATAATAATATTACTAATATTAATAATATAATAGTAATATATATATATATGGTGACCAGAGAACTTAATAATAATCACAATATTAGTAATATTAATATGATATAATAGTAATATTATATATATATGATGACCAGAGAACTTAATAATCATAATATTAGTAATATTAATATGACATTATATATTAGTAATAATTATATATATATATATATATATAATATATATATATATGGTGACCAGAGAACTTAATAATAATCACAATATTAGTAATATTAATATGATATAATAGTAATATTATATATATATGATGACCAGAGAACTTAATAATCATAATATTAGTAATATTAATATGACATTATATATTAGTAATAATGATAAAAAGCTTAATAATATATTAATATGATATAATAGGAATATATATATATATATGGTGACCAGAGAACTTAATAATAATCACAATATTAGTAATATTAATAATATGATATAATAGTAATATATATTATATTAGTATATTTATAGTAAAGTAGTAATTATAGTAATAATAATAATAATAATAATAATAATAATAATAGAGCCCTCTGCTCACTATATAATTAATAAGAACATGAAATAATACATAGATATAAGGTGACCAGTGGACATAATAATAATAATAATAATAATAATAATGAGTCCTCTGGTCACTATGTGTGCATATATACATCTATGTATATAGAATAACAACCTGAAATAATAATATATAAATAGTGGACATATCTATATTACTCTTATTATAGATAAGAGTAATATAATAACTCTAGACTCTTATTATCGATAAGAGTCTAGAGTTGCTGATTTTATCAACTCCTGGGGAAGGGGATTGCTTTCCCGAAACAGGGTACAAAAATACCCGGGCACCCCTGTTGAATGCCACTTGGACTTTTCCTTTGAAGACTTATTTTGAGAAGCAGTGCTCCATTTTCACTGGACTTGATTTGGATTTTTTCCATGAAGATTGTTTTGAGAGTGGTGCTCCATCTTCATTATTGTCTTCAGTCTACATATAGCCTCATGACTCAATGGTTACTGTGTTTATATGATTACATTTGAGAGCGGCTCCTCCATTCAACCCTCAGAGGCACCTATTGGCCTAGGACTCCTATGTGCAATCCTTTGCCCCCCTCCACATCGAGCTTTGCACCCCCCCCCTGGTATTCTGACCCTCCATTGAAGCCTTATAGGCATCTATCTGCCCAGGACTTTTACATGTAATCCTTTGCCACCCTCCAGCGGACACATCAAGCGTTTGCTCTGGTCTGTGTGCTGAGTCAGGTTCAGCACTTGTAATGTGCAGCGTTTCCCTTTCCCAGTATTAAGTAATATATATCTTTGTTAATAATAACAACAATAATACATCTTTGTTAATAATAACAGTAATAATAACGGCTCAATTTCGAAATGAAAAGCCATGACATTCCCGTCAACAACATATGTTTTTATTTCCAACGTTTTAACCCAGAGGCACGAGTTTCTGGATACGACTTTATTAAAAATACAAGGTATCTGAGAGAAAAATCAGAGCAATTATTTTAATGTACAAATCCAAATACCTGTAGCGTGTTTTGCTTTTTCTTGGAACCCTAAAACATAAAAAAAACAAGTCTTCGAGGGACAGGAAAAACGAAATAAGCGACATCCTTTTTTCAAGCCCACTTATTTCTATCTGCTCAAAGCAAAATATAAAGCATGACCGTTCCCTCGTATATATCTAGCTGGACTTAGAAAGTCCCATTGCCACACATAAATACCACTTTGCTGCTGAAATTTCTTTAAAACTCTATCCTCAAGATAAATATCCGTGTGGAATAAGGAGATCGGACTAGTTCTGGCTCGGTTTGTATTTTATTGGAAAAGGGAGGGAAATCAAAACAGAACAAAATGGAGAGAAATCGAGAAGCATTATAAAACAGCGAAGTGCTCTGAGCACTCTTGGAAAGGGAAATAGCTTTTTGTTATTCTGCGCAGAGGGAGGTCGAAAAGAGACGCGTCACTGACGACAATGTACAACACATTTAGATATAATTTAAAAATAAAAAAGAACAAGGCAAGAGGCAGCATTTCAGCAGCAAAGTGCTCAATAAAAAGTATGTCACACAGAAAGAGAAGAAGGGAAATATGGGGGAAGGGTCTCAGAGGAAATACGGCGTAGTGGTCCTCGGGGGGATGACGCGCTCGGAGTCGGGGACGGCGCGGAAGAGCTTGGGCTCTCGCGTGTTGACGTCCTTGAAGACCATGATGGAGGCGATGTTGCCGCAGCGGTAGCAGTAGTTGGGGGCCGACCACACCGTCACCAGCTTCTCGTCGAACATGAACTTGTAGCCTTCGTGGACCAGCTGGTGGGCCCGGCAGATGAGCTTTAGGTTGTTGATGTGCACAAACTGGAAGGATTTGAAAAGATTTGTAGCAGAGACCATGGGAAATTGCAGCAAGGAAAGCCGTCAGGTGACCAACATGATCCCAGAGGTACATTCTCAGCTTTCTTTCTTTTCAGCGCTTCCTTGTTCACTAAACTCTATTGTGGTAGGACATCAGACCAGCGGTTCCCAAACTATTTCAGTCATGGAAACTTTAGGAAGACCTTGTGTCCCTGCTTTTCCCACGGAACCCTAACTTTTTCCTTGCCTTTCCCACAGAATGCTAATGCTTTCCTTACTTTCCCTGCAAAATCGTAAATCTTTCCCTGCTTTCCCTGCAGAACCCTGACTCTTTCCCTGCAGAACCCTATCTCTTTCCTTGCTTTTTCTGCAGAACCCTAACTCTTTCCCTGCTTTTCCCACGGAACCCTAACTCTTTCCTTGCTTTTTCCGCAGAACCCTAACTCTTTCCTTGCTTTTCCAACAGAGCCCTAACTCTTTCCTTGCTTTTTCTGCAGAACCCTAATTCTTTCCTTGCTTTTCCCGCAGAGCCCTAACTCTTTCGTTGCTTTTTCTGCAGAACCCTTACCCTTTCCTTGCTTTTTCTGTGCTTAATTTTCCTGTGAAATCCTAACATTTGCTTTGCTTTAGCCATGGAACCCTAACTATGTTCCTGATTTTCCCACAGAACTGTAATTGTGCCTCTAAGCAATACATTCTTTATTCTTTCATTTACTTATTTCCTGAGTGTTTTATATAGTTTTATAGGTTTGGAAATAAAGAGAAAACATTTTAAATATAACCACTAACATTCATTCAAGACTATATTAACTATAACCACAAATATTTCTTTTGGTATAGTAAACTTTTGGATTCCCACCTAAAGCAATGACTAAAATTATTTCATTTCAGTGCTTTAAAAAGCTTACTTAAAAAGTGAATCTGAGGAGGCATCCAATTTACTCCAACTCTCAATAGAGTGTTCATTCTAAGCTATATTTATAATATTATAATGTAATACAATAATACTAATATGATATTATAATTATATATTTTACATTACATGTAATATCACTAATAATATGACAATATAATGGTATCGTACAATATAGTAATATTTAATACTGATATTGTGCTATGCTAATAATATAATATTATTGTAATATAATTGTATATACATATATTTATAATATAATGTAATGCAATATAATACTAAGAATAATATATTATAATTATATGGTTATATTATATGTAATATCACTAATAATATTAGAATATAATGGTATAGTACAATATAGTAATATTTAATACTGATATTGTGCTATGCTAATAATATAATATTATTGTAATATAATTGTATATACATATATTTATAATATTATAATGTAATGCGATATAATACTAAGAATAATATATTATAATTATATATTTATATTACATGTATTACTAATAATATTAGAATATAATGGTATAGTTCAATACAGTAATATTTAATACTGATATTATGCTATGCTAATAATATAATATTATTGTAATATAATTGTATATACATATATTTATAATATTATAATGTAATGCAATATAATACTAAGAATAATATATTATAATTATATATTTATATTACATGTAATATTACTAATAATATTAGAATATAATGGTATAGTTCAATATAGTAATATTTAATACTGATATTGTGCTATGCTAATAATATAATATATTGTATGTATATATATATATCTCGTAGGCCGCAGTGAGTCCCCTTCGGGGTGAGAAGGGCAGCATAGCAATGTTGTAAATAAATAAATAAATATCCACACTGGCAATCTTTATTCCCCTGCACATTTGCCATACTTTCTCCAACTACTATTTTGACTTGGGGTCAGAACTGTTAACCAGCGCAAACCTGACTGATTGACGATTTTGTAAGCAAGAGCTATATTTTTATTTCCTTACCTCGTTGGTGACTTTGGCCCCAAACAGCCAGCCGGCCCCTCGGGGACTAATGGCCCACGTGTCGACGTCTTCTGGGTCCGACCAAACCAGGTCACAGAAAGCTCCTTTATGCGGTATTTCCTGATTGCGTTCAATAGTTCGGATCTGATCAAGTGTTTTGATATCTGGAGACAGGCCACCGTGGACACAAAGAATCTGCTCATCTATTAACTTCAGGAGGAAAACAGAAGGATAATATTTTAGTAGTCCTCTAAACCTGGAACTCAAGGGACATTTGGGGAAAACTCATGGTTTGTAAAGGATGTTGGGAGAGCAATAAAGTCTAATGTACTGGTTCTCCACCTTCCTAATGCCGCGACCACTTGGTACCGTTCCTCATGTTGTGGTGACCCCCAACCATAACATTATTTTCATTGTTACTTCATAAATGTAATTTTGCTACTGTTATGAATCGCAATGTAAATATCCGATATGCAGGATATATTTTCATTCACTGGACTAAATCTGGCACAAATACCCCATATGCTCAAATTTGAATACTAATGGGGTTGGGGGAGAGACTGGTTTTATCATTTGAGAGTTGTACTTGCTGGGATTTATAGTTCATCTACAATCAAAGAACATTCTGATCTCCACCAAGGATGGAACTGAACCAATCTTGGCACACAGGACTCCCATGACCATCAGAAAATACTAGCAGGGTTAGGTGGGCATGGATCTTGAGTTTGGGAGTTGTAGTTCATCTACATCTGTGGACTCAAACAATGATGGATCTGGACCAAACTTGGCAGAAATACCCAATATGCCCAAATGTGAACACTAGTGGAGTTTGGGGAAAATAGACCTTGGCATTTGGGAGTTGTAGTTGCTGGGCTTTATAGTTCACCTACAAGCAAAGAGCATTCTGAACCCCACCAACAATAGAATTGGACCTAACTTTCCACACGTAACCCAGGTGAGCAAGAGAAAATACTGTGTTTTCTGATGGTCTTCGGTGACCCCCTCCCAGGGGTCCCGACCCCCAGGTTGAGAAACACTGGTCTAATGGGATTAAAATTAATCTTACAGACACATCTGGAAGCCTGTCAAGAGAAATGAAGAGCTGGCAACATTCAATGTCAGTTTACATTATCAAAAAATGTACTAAAAAGCAAAGTGTTGCAATAAATTGTGGTGGTTTTACTGTTGGATTGGGACGCCTTTGAGGCCAGGGCTCACATTCCCACTCATGTAATGGAAACCCATTGACTGGCCATGGGGAAACCACACTCTCTCAGCCTCAAAGGAAAACCACAGCGAACCCTGAGTCCCTCCTCGGGGGTTGAGAAGGGTGGGATAGAAATATTGGAAATAAATAAATGAACCCCTTCTGAACTGATCTTGCAATATATCCATGACATCTTTGCCTTAAGAGCTGCAATGTTAGAAAGCACTTGAGAGCAGCATATACCAAAATAATTTAAAAAAAAAACTTACTGCTGCTACTGTGAGCATGTCAAACACTTTGGTGCAATACCGCCAAGCGTTAGCGTTGCCATATTTGGTTTGGCACTCATCTAATGCAGAGAGAAGGAAAAATTAAAATGGTTTGTCATAATTTCAAAGTCAGTTACAGAAAGCGTGTAGCTCTTCTACACTGAAATAAAGTCAATTCATGTCAATGTTTATGTTGATTGCAAACTTACCATAAAATCCATACACTTGTGTTATCTGCCTACTTTCGTGATTTCCCCGAAGGAGTGTGATGCGATCGGGCCATTTCGCTTTCAGGGCCAGAAGGTAAGTAAACGTCTCAAGGCTGTAATAGCCCCTGTCTACAAAATCTCCCTGCAATTAAAACAACAGTTTAGTGCACACCGTCCAGTAACTATAACATAGAAAGCGAAATGTAAATTTTAAAAATGATTATTGACAAGGACCTAATTGTTTATTTCCTTTCCCACTAGCCCTCATTAGGCTACAAACAAACAAACAACATCATAAAGAGGCGAGACACGCTGAGTAGCAAAACAAAAGAAACAGCTACCTTGAAGATTAAGTTGCAATGTTATGACATTAGTAAATGTATACATTTTCAGATTTCTATTTATACACACCATAAATATGTAGTTTGTGTCGGGAACTTGGCCTCCAGTTCTGAACAATTCACATAAATCATAAAACTGAAAGGCAAAAAAAGAAGACAATGTTAAAGATTATATCAAAGCAGAGGGTGCTGGTTGGTATTTATGAATTTTAATAGTGTTTATTGCTGTATTGTTTTGAATTATTAATTGTTATTACTCCTATATTTAATTATATTGTAATGTTTATTAATGGGGCCAAAGTGGCACAATGGGTTAAACCCTTGTGCTGCTAAATTGTTGACCTAAAGGTTGGCAGTTCGAATTCATGGAATGGGGTGAGCTCTTGCTGTTAGCCCTAGCTCCTGTCAACTTAGCACTTCAAAAACATACAAAGGTAAATAGATAAATAAGTACTGCTACAGCAGGAAAAGACAGCAGTCTTGCAGGCCACATGACCAGGAGGTGACAACACAGGCTCCTCGGCTTGCAAATAGAGAACACCTCCCCCAGAGGCAGAACAGAGCACTACACCTCCAGAAACCGGAAATGAGAAAGGACAATCCTTTGCCTTGTCTGTGTTTGTGTCTCTTATTGTATGGGACTGTAAGGCATTGAACGTTGGCCAATGTCTGCTGTAAATGCTGTTATCTGCTCTTGAGTCCCCTTGGGGAGATGGGTGGAATATAAATATCTGGCCCCACCCACAGTGCTGGACATACATTGGACTTGGTTTTCTGTCAGGGATGGGAGGAAGGTGGCGGTGTTGAGGAGTTATCCATCTCTCCGTTGCCATGGACCGACCACCACCTGGTCAGCTTTAGACTCACTGCACCCCCTAACCTCCGCAGAGGTGGAGGACCCATTAAGCTGGTCCGCCCCAGGAGGCTTATGGATCCGGATGGATTCCTGACGGCTCTTGGGGAATTTCCCGCCTCCTCGGTTGGTGATCCTGTCGATGCCCTGGTCGCTCTCTGGAATGGGGAGATGACTAGGGCAATAGACACGATCGCCCCAGAACGTCCCCTCTCAAGTAGCCGAGCTAAACCAGCTCCTTGGTTTACTGAGGAGCTGGCAGCGTTGAAGCGAAAGAAGAGGGTACTAGAGAGCGTGTGGCGTTCGGATCCGAGCGAGCCAAATCGAACACGGTTTGTGTCCTTTCTAAGGGCATACGCCGCGGCAATAAAAGCCGCAAAGAAGACCTTCTTTGCGGCCACTATTGCGTCTGCAAAGAACCGTCCGGCTGAACTGTTTCGAGTTGTCAGAGGCTGTTAAAGCCCACCTGCAGGATGGGTGCCCTGATGACTCGGCAGCTCGCTGTGAAGCCTTTGCTCAGTTCTTTGCAGACAAAGTCGCTTTGATCCGCTCTGGTCTGGATACCATATTAACGGCAGTCTCTGAGGATGTAACACGAGCATCTGCTTGTCCGGTTTTGATGGATTCATTTCAATTGGTTCAATCCGAGGATGTGGACAAGGTGCTTGGAGGAATGAGAGCTACCACATGCATCCTAGACCCCTGCCCATCCTGGCTTCTAAGGAGGCCAGAGGGGGATTGGCCGAGTGGGTGAAGGTGGTGGTTAATGCCTCCCTTCGGGAAGGCATATTTCCAGCCAGCTTAAAGCAAGCTGTGATAAAACCGCTGTTGAAAAAACCATCACTGGACCCCACTCAATTCGTCAACTATCGGCCTGTTTCCAATCTCCCCTTCTTGGGCAAAGTCCTGGAACGTGTGGTGGCCTCACAACTCCAGGCATTCTTGGTAGACACGGATTATCTGGACCCGGCACAGTCTGGCTTTAGGCCGGGGCATGGTACCGAGACAGCTTTGGTCGCCTTAGTCGATGATCTGCGCTGGGAGCTCGACAGGGGGAGTGTGTCCCTGTTGGTGCTGCTGGACCTCTCAGCGGCCTTCGATACCGTCGACCACGGTATCCTTCTGGGACGCCTCGCGGGAATGGGTCTTGGAGGAACTGTTCTACAGTGGCTCCGCTCATTCCTCGAGGGTCGGTCTCAGAAGGTGTTATTGGGAGACTCCTGCTCAACCCCACAACCTTTGTCTTGTGGGGTTCCTCAGGGTTCAATATTATCTCCCATGTTGTTCAACATCTACATGAAGCCGCTGGGTGAGATCATCTGGAGTTTCGGGGTGCGATGTCATTTGTACGCAGATGATGTTCAACTCTGTCACTCCTTCCCACCTGTCACTAAGGAGGCTGTCGAGGTCCTGAACCGGTGCTTGGCCGCTGTGACGGTCTGGATGGGGGCGAACAAATTGAAATTGAATCCAGACAAGACAGAGGTACTCCTGGTCAGTCGCAAGGCCGAACAGGGTATAGGGTTACAGCCTGTGTTGGATGGGGTCGCACTCCCCCTGAAGACGCAGGTTCACAGTTTGGGTGTGATCCTGGACTCATCGCTGAGCCTGGAACCCCAGGTTTCGGCGGTGACCAGGGGAGCATTCGCACAGTTAAAACTCGTGCGCCAACTGCGCCCGTACCTTGGGAAGTCTGACTTGGCCACGGTAGTCCACGCTCTGGTTACATCCCGTTTAGACTACTGCAATGCTCTCTACGTGGGGTTGCCTTTGAAGACGGCTCGGAAGCTCCAATTAGTCCAACGGTCGGCAGCCATGATACTAACTGGAGCGGAGCGCAGGGAGCGCACAACTCCTTTGCTGCACCAGCTCCACTGGCTGCCAATTTGCTACCGGGCTCAATTCAAAGTGCTGGCGTTGGCCTTTAAAGCCCTAAACGGTTCTGGCCCAACCTACCTATCCGAACGTATCTCGGCCTATCAGCCCACCAGGACCCTAAGATCTTCTGGGGAGGCCTTGCTCTCTATCCCGCCTGCTTCACAGGTGCGGCTGGCGGGGACGAGAGACAGGGCCTTTTCTGTGGTGGCCCCTCGGCTCTGGAACGCCCTTCCCATGGAGGTAAGATCAGCCTCCTCGCTGATGGTATTCCGAAAAAGACTAAAAACTTGGATGTTCAAGCAGGCATTTGGTTAATTCGGTGCAATGAATGTGTCGACTACGGATTGGTAATATGGATGATGCAATTGGACCACGATTTTAGTTAGGAGATGTATTGGATTGTGATTTATGTGAAATATTGTGTATTATGTTTTTTACGGTTTTAATTGTATACTGTGTACTGTATATTCTGTTGTAAACCGCGTTGAGTCGCCAGTTAGTCTGAGAAACGGTGGTATACAAGGACAGTAAATAAATAAATAATAAATAAAGTGCATCATCATCATTTTTAATAATGTAATGCAATATAATACTAATAATAATATTATTATAATAATTATATATTTTATATTACATGTAATATTATTTATTTATTTGCTTTATTTCTATGCTGCATTTTTCAGCCCAAACAGGCTACTCAATGCGGTTTACATGGTACAATTATCAAACAGTGTCAGTGCAATTAAAACATAACAATGCAACAAACAGGATCAACAGCATCAATCCACAACAATTAACAATCAAAAAAGACAAATCAACAAAACAAACATAACATAACGCCTCAGTTGAATCAGATCCGTTCTCATAATCATTGTGCCATTCCTATGTTCCATTTACCGTCTTCCTTTGATTGGTTGCACTGCTTAACCAAACGCTTGTTCATAAAGCTAGGTCTTAACCATTCTCCGAAACGTCAGCAACGAAGGTGCCTGTCTGATGTTTGCCGGTAAGGCATTCCATAGCCGAGGGGCCACCACTGAGAAGGCCCTGTCTCTCGTCCCCGCCAAGCGCGCCTGTGACGTAGGCAGGATCGAGAGCAGAGCCTCCCCAGACGATCTTAATGTTCTATTATTAATAATATTACAATATAATGGTATAGTACAATATAGTAATAAATAATACTGATATTGTACTATGCTAATAACATAATATATTGTATGTATATATATCTTGTAAGCTGCTCTGAGTCCCCTTCGGGGTTAGAAGGACGGCATATAAATGTCATTAATAATAATAATAATAATAATAATAATAATAATAATAATAATAATATACATAACCAGATTAGTACACAATAAACAAGATCACCATGCTGGCTTTTGTACTGGAACACATGTCAGACACTTCCCAAGCGTCTAAGACTGTGTGATATATGAACAAATAATGAGTGCATATCTGAGTAGGGCAGCCGTTTGCAGCTGACAGATGGTAATTTTGCCAGCGCTGATTGTTTTTAAATGCAGGTCAAGGTCTTTAGGCACTGCACCCAGTGTACCGATCACGTTAAGCTATAGCAACTATTGCTTAGAAAGCCAAAACCACTATATGGAAGAGGAAAATACCATCAAATTCTCCACAGTATGAAAATGCGTGAGAAATCTCACCTGTCCATGGATGTCGCCACAGACTGTAACTGGGGTAGAAACCGGCTGCACATTTGATTCTTCTAAGAGCAGGTCACACACGTAGTCACATAAGCGCTAGAACGAGGATATCGTTTTAATACAAGAGCTCTCCATATTGTGAACAACATAATTGCAAATAAAAACACAGGGACATTTCTGGCTAGTAATGGCTGAAATGACCACATTGTGCCAACAGAAGTAAAACCATACCATCTCCAAGCCCAGTTCGAAGTGCTTCTTGTAACCTTTAAAGCTTGAAACACCTCAACTGAAAGATCATTTCTTGCTCTTCCTTGTAACATCCTTTCACATATTTGTACATGGCCCTCGTGTCTCCTCTCAACCCCTCAATAGAATAGATCAAAGGATGGATAGAATAGAACAGATCAATGGAATGAATTTAGTGTTTATATACAATACACACAGTGCATGACTTCTCTATATCTCCATCTAAACCTGGCCTGGGTCAACTTAAGCCTTCCTTCCAGGTGTTTTGGACTTCAATTCCCACAATTCCTAACAGCCTACCGGCTGTTAGGAATTGTGGGAGTTGGAGTCCAAAACACCTGGAGGGAAGGCCCAACTTGGCCCAGGCCTAGTGTAATATGCTTCGGGCCCTCTTCCTCCTCTAGGCCTCACCTTGAGGTCGTTCTCGGGCAGGTATTTGCAGAGCCGCGCGATCTCCACATACTTATCCAAGTCCAGCGGCGCCATTTTGGAAAGCGGAAGGAAGAAGGGGCATAGGAGAGTCGAGGGACAGGAAGCGAGAGCGGCCACTTCCGGATTGTGTCAGAGGACATCCGCTCCTGAGCGTCCCGGCCTCTGCGCAGGCGCAGAAGGCGCCCTCTCCTCCTCCGTCGGCTCTACGCATGCGCCGAAGAAGCCCTCTTTCCTCTCAAAGGCCCTTTCCTTCTCCCGCTTTGTGCCCAGACTCTGCGCAGGCGCAGAAGACGCCCTCTCCGCCTCCCCTTCGCCGCTTCTGCGCAGAACACACCCTCTCCGTCTTCCGAAAGCGCTTCCCTTTGTATTTCCGTCCTTTACGCATGCGTAGAGGAAGCCCTCTTTCCTCTCAGAGGGTTTGTGTCCAGCCTCTGCGCAGGCGCAGAAGACACCCTCTCCGTTTTCCGAAGGCGCTTCCCTTTGTAGTTCCTCCCTGTACGCATGCGCAGAGGAAGCCCTCTTTCCACTCAGAGGGTTTGTGCCCAGCTTTTGCGCAGGCGCAGAAGACACCGTCTCCGCCTCCGAAGGCGCTTCCCTTTGTATTTCCGCCGTTTACGCATGCGCAGAGGAAGCCCTCTTTCCTCTCAAAGAGGCTGTGTGCCCAGCCTCTGCGCAGGCGCAGAAGACACCCTTCCACTTCCCTTTGTCGCTCTATATTTCCGCCCTGTGCGCATGCGCAGAAAACACTCTCTCTTCTCAATGGTTCTTTTCGTTCGCGCTCTTTTGTGCCCGGTCTCTACGCATGCGCGGAAACTTTCCTTCCGTCTCCGAAGGCCTTTTCGGTCTCTCTGTGTCCGGCTTCCGCGCATGCGCACGGGCCTTTGGCTTGGTTGTTGGCGAAAAAGGTGGCAGGTCGAATGCAGCAACCTGGAGGCGGGGCTTAAAATCTCCTAGCAACGACGGAGAAGGCGTGGCGAAAGCACCAAACCCCGCCCCCTTTGCATCAATGTCGCCAGCGGCGTTGGAAGAGCTGAAGCCTGGGAGCAACCCGGAAGTAGCCAGCTGGTGCGCTGTAAACACGGGTCTGCGGTGCACGTGTGAATGCAGATGGGGGAATGAATGCGTGTTTTAATGAAATATGATTGTCTCACCAAAGTAGAAGTCCTAGAATATAGGGCCAGGGTGGTTCAAGTGGTATGAAACTGGGTTAACTCAGCAGTGTAGATAAGGAATGGGTCAACTTCGGCTCTCCCTCCAGGTGTTTTGGACTTCAATACCCACAATTCGCTGTTAGGAATTGTGGGAATTGAAGTCCAGAACACCTGGAGGGAGGGCCGAAGTTGGCCCATTCCAGATATAGATATTCCGAGCTGTGGGTGAAATGTCAGGAGAGAATGCTTCTGGAACATGGCCTGCAAAACTCACAGCAACCCATTAAATTATTATTATTATTCTATTTGTAGGTACTCCCTGGTTCCCTTTGGGGAGGGCCCTTGCCCCCGTGTCGGCCATGTCTCGTTTCACCTCCCGAACAACAAGAAAGGAACCGTCCTCATCGTCGGAGGGGCCGACCCGAACGGCAGCTTCTCCGACTCCTATACCCTTGACCTCGGTGAGGGATCAAACCGCATTAACTCCCCGGTGTAGACGTTTGTTGTTTATGTATTTGGTTTCATTCTGCTGTAATATGTTGTCCGGGCTTGGCCCCATGTAAGCCGCTTCGAGTCCCCACTGGGGAGATGGTGGCGGGGTAAAAATAAATATTATTATAATTATTATTATTATTATTATTATTACCTAGACCAAGTGGTGCTTTCTCACCCATCGTTTGTCTTCAATAGATGCACACAAGTGGAGCGCCCCGAAGTGGCCGGGCCTTTTGCCCCGATACGAACAGGCCGCCTTCATTCCCGAAAGCCAGCCCACGAAGCTCTGGGTCTTTGGAGGAGCCAGCGAAGGTGGCAACCGGAATTGCCTGCAGGTCTTGGACCTTCGTAAGTATTCTTGTTTTCTACGAGGGTTGAATGAAAAGTAATGCCTCCGCCTTTGTAACTCCTCAACAGATGGCAGTACTGGTATGTGGCAGGTACTGGCTTGTCCAGTAGACTCTCCTCTACAGTTCCATTTTGGCGAGAAGCCTTAGCATTGAATGGTTGTGTTGTTAAAGTGCGAAGTATGGAACCCTGCGCAGACGGTCGGTCAATGCGACCGTTTCTGCAAATACGATTAAAAATAGCATCTGTTTAGTAACCTGATTATATTGCATCTGCATTTGCGGTTTTTCATTCTCATTCAGGTTTGACTGTATTGTCTTGCTATACCTCATATAGAGTCTGAGGTATAAATAGAAATGAAATACAAATAATAATACATTTCTTCTTTGTAGTCTCTGTGAAATCGCACATATGGATTCATCCTTATCTTGAATACTATAGTAAAGGTAAAGGTTATCCCCTGACATTAAGTCCAGTCATGTCTAACTCTGGGGTGTGGTGCTCACCTCTATTTCTAAGCCGAAGAGCCAGTGTTGTCCATAGACACCTCCAAGGTCATGTGGCCAGCATGACCACATGGAGCGCCGTTACCTTCCCGCCGAAGCGGTACCTATTGATCTCCTCACATTTGCATGTTTTCGAACTGCTAGGTTGGCAGAAGCTAGGGGTGACAGCAGAAGCTCCCACCGCTCCCTGGAATCGAACCAGCGACCTTTCGGTCAACAAGCTCAGCAGCTCAGTGCTTTAACCCACTGCGCCACCGGGCCGGGGGCCCCCTTTGAATACTATACATTATTATCATCATTATCAACAGCAGCATAATCATCCTTACTTTGGATGCTATACATTATTGTTATTGTTATGATTACTTTGGATTTATATTTATTTATTTATTTATTTATTTATTTACGACATCCTGAAAGGGACTCTGAGTGGCTTACAACATATATATACATACAATATATTATATTATTAGCATAGTACAATATCAGAATTATATATTACTATATTGTACTATGTCATTATATTTTAATATTATTAGTAATATTACACGTAATATAAAATATATAATTAAAATATCATATTATTAGTATTATATTGTATTACATTATAATATTATAAATATTATATGTATATACAATATATTATATTACTTTATATTATGTTATAACATGGAAGGACGGCTGTAGTTACTTCCAAAAGCCACTGACCAAACAATGGTTTGTCTGCTTTCCTCCTTAGAGACTGGCACATGGGAGAAGCCGGAGGTAAGCGGGACTCCTCCATCCATTCGGACCTTTCACACGTCCACGGCGGCCATCGGTGACCGTCTGTATGTCTTTGGAGGCGGCGACAAAGGAGCGGACCCTGTTCAAGACCAGCAGCTTCATATATTTGACTCAGGTTAGCTCTTGAGTTTTGGTTCTTGGGAAGTAAAAGAGGTCCCCAGAGTTGGAAGAGATCTATGAGCTTTTAAGTAGAGACTTGTTTATTTTGTCAAAAGACATCCTGTGATTTTCGACTGCTTCAAAGTAGGGACTGAATGGCCATCTGTTGGGAGGGATCGGATTGTGCCTTCCTGCCTGGCAGAAGGGGGTTGTTGGACTTGCATGCCCTTTGGTGTCCCCTCCAACTCGAAGCTTCAATTGACAACAATCTGATTGGATTTTGGGGGGACTTTTCTCCCATCTCACCCCAGTGTTTCTCATCCCACGTAGCCACGTTGACATGGCTCCAACCGGAGGTTTCGGGCCAGGCTCCCACACCTCGGCATGGCCATGCAATGGTGGCCGTCGGGAGCCGACTCTTCATCCACGGCGGCTTGGCCAGCGACACGTTTTACGGCGACCTCTTCTCCATTGATATAAGTAAGCGCAAATGGGTTTGGATTTTTCGACCCTTTTTCATTCCAGCTCTGAAATCTTATGGACTACGGGTGCATTCACACTGTCAACTCAAGCATTATAGTAATTTGGAAGGACGAAGGGTGCATTTATTCTGCAGAATCCATTATTATTATTATTATTATTATTATTATTATTATTATTATTATTATTATTATTATTATTATTATTATTAGCAGTAGTAGTAGTAGTAGTGACCAGGGTGCATTTACACTTCAGAATCTATTATTAGTAGTAGTGCTACTAGTAGTAGTAGTACTATGGACCAGGGGTGTATTTACCCTATAATTTAATCTATTATTATTATTAGTAGTAGTAGTAGTAAGGACTAGGGGTGCATTTATTTTGCAGAATCTATTGTTATTAATGTTATAGTAGCAGTAGTAGTAATAGTGACCAGGGATGCATTAACCCTGCAGAATCTATTATTAGTAGCAGTGCTACTAGTAGTAGTACTATGGACCAGGGGTGTATTTACCCTACAGAATCTATTATTATTATTAATATTATTATTATTATTATTATTATTATTATTTATTAAGTATTATTAGCAGCAGTAGTAGTAGTAAGGACTAGGGGTGCATTTACTGTGCAGAATCTATTATTAGTAGTAATGCTACTAGTAGTAGTAGTACTATGGATCAAGGGTCTATTTACCCTACAGAATCTATTATTATTATTAGTAGTAGTAGTGATAGTAAGGACTAGGGGTGCATTTATTTTGCAGAATCTATTGTTATTGTTAGTTGTAGTAGTAGTAGTATTACGGACCAGGGATGCATTAACCCTGCAGAATCTATTATTAGTAATAGTGCTACTACTAACAGTAGTACTATGGACCAGGGGTGTCCATAGTACTAGAATCTATTATTACCAGAATCTATTATTATTATTATTATTATTATTAGTAGTAGTAGTAGTAGTAGTAGTATTGACCAGGGGTACATTTACTCTGCAGAATCTATTATTATTAGGGGTGTATTTCTTCAAAGATGAAAAATGAGAGAGATTCCTAGCTGCTGCAATGGCGGCAGATGAAAGGATCTGAGGCAGTAGCCCCTCCCACTGGCTATATATACTCTCAAGGGAGAGTGGGCGGGGCTACCGCCTAAAAGTGCCCAAATTTTCTAGAAGATTCCGAACTGTCTGCGCAAGCGCAGGCAATACCATATGTGCAATTCACAGGGACCACAATGGGCAATCTGTTTTTATTAAGGGTGTATTTATCCTGCAGAATATATTATTTTATTGTTATTCTTTTTATTAGGACTATGGGTGTATTTACCCTGCCACATCAGTATTATTACTTTTATTATTTATGAAGACTAAGGATGCATTTACAAATCAGAATCCATTATTATTGCTTGTAAGGACAAGAGGTGCATTTACACTGCAGAACAAATTATATTTATTTTTTTCTACACTGTAGAAGGAATGCTATTTAATGCTACTTGAACTGTCATGGCTCAATGCTATGAGATCCTGAGAATTGTAGTTTGCGCGACCCCCAATTCTTCAGCAGCAAAGGCAAAAGACCTTGTAAAACTACCAAATCCACAGCATTTGAGTTCAAAGCAGGGACGATCTGCATTCATTCCAGGGCAGATGCAGTCCTTTGCCATAGATGTCTTGCTTCAAACAGATTATTTATTTGCTCGCAGCTGAGATGAAATGGGAGAGCCTGCCGAGCACTGGATCCGTTCCTGGAGGTCGGGCGGCCCATTCAGTCGTGGCTTTTCGGGACCATTTGTACATTTTCGGCGGGATGGACCCAACGGGAGCACTGGACACGATGTACAAGTATCACATCGGTGAGTTTGCCTTAAAGCA